TCTAAAAAATGTTACAGCCATATGATTTTATCAGTAAGTTCTTTTAGATTTTAAGAAGCAGCTAATTCAAGTGCTATATCAATCATTCATTCCCAAATATCAGAAGAGATGGAAAGCTATGTGATAGGTATAATCAGACTGGCATGACCCTAATATCAAAATTCGACAAAGGCAGCATATATACAAAAATAAAGTATATATATATATATAGAGAGAGAGAGAGAGATAGAGAGAGAGAGAGAGAGAGAGATGTAGATATAGATAGATAGATAGATATCAGTATCCCAGGGGCCGTGTGGCAATGTCTGGAGACATTTTTAGTTGTCACAGCTTGGTGAGGGAGGGGTTCCTATTGACATCCAGTGAGTAGAGGCCAGGGATGCTGTACACATTCTACAGAGAACAAGATAGCCACCCACAACAACTATTTGATCCAAAATGTCAGTAGTTTCAAGGATAAGAAACCCTAATCTAGATAGATCACTTATGATCATAGATGAGAAAATACTAAAATACCAAAAAATCTAATTCAATAAGTATATTAAAAGAATAATTCACCAAGACCAGGGTTTATCTAATTTTTAATGTTAGAAAGTCTATAAATTTATCATATCAAGTAAGGAAAACCATATAATCATTTCAGTAGATCCTGAGTAGATATTTGATAAAATTCCATGCTATCAGAAAGTCTTAAGAACCTAAAATAGAAGGATCCTTGCTGACTGCAAATATTTAGAAAGAAGAAATTATTTCAAACCGATTGTATGTAATTTTGAAATAGGAGAGGCATTCTCATTAAAATAAAAATGTTTTCCTTTAGCAACATTAATAATTTATATTGTTATAGAACTTCAGTCATCAAAGTTATTAGTTGTATAAAACAGAAATAAGATATACAACTATTATAAAAGAAGGGGAAAAACATTATTTGCAAACCATATATCTACTAGAAAATCCAAGATAATAAATTTTTTATAAATTTTAATTTAGAAAATACAGCAAAATGGTTGATTAGATATCATGAAATTTCCTGATGTCAATAATATACCAATCACAAAATATAGTAGGAAAAACATCCCTTTCAGAATCTCAACCAACAAAAATGTATTCGGAGTTACCCTAACAAGAAACATGTGTGACCCATATCATGAAAATTACAAAACTTTACTGAATAAATCAGAAGACATGGGAAAATATACCATGTTTCCTTGACGTCTAAATATTAGAAAGTGTCAGGTCTCCCAAATTAATCTGTAGATTTTATGTAATACTCATCAAAGACTCAACACGGTTATCTGGGGATAGAACTTTAAATAATGCTTAACCTCATGAAATGTACTTACATATAACTGTTAAAAGACAATTTTTTAAAGAGGGTACAATCATGACTCTCATACAGACATAAAGTGAACATATATCAAAGATTTTTATTTAGTTCATTAATTAATTAATGGGATGTGATTTTATTAGTATAATGTTATCAGTTCAAAGGAGAATTCAAAGTACCACACATGTAAGTGCTGAAATTAATTTACAAAGAGGTGCAAAATGGGTCAATAATCAGTTGCATTCCACTGACCACAACCAATTTTCAGTTCTAGGGACAAATATCATTTGCATTATCAGTTTTTTACAACTCGCAGAGTTATAAAATAGCTCAAAGACAATGGAAAATAACCCAGAAAGGCAATTGTTTGCCCATTTCATAAGCTTTCAAAATATTTTGGAAATAAATGCAAAATAAAACAAAATCTTTGTACTGTCTCAAATTGCAAAGAATTTTTAAAATGTTAAGCCTACTGTTGGGCTTTATGATATGAAAAAATTGAAATCAACCTAAAAGGTCATCAAATAAGTAGATGGTTAAATAAATTATAATACATTCATGTTCTAAAACACAATGCATTCATTTAACCTCACGTTTTCAAAGAATATTTAATGACATGGAAAATGCTAACAGTAAAGTGTTAAGTGAAAAATCAGGCTAAAAACTGTTTAGTGAACTTTGGTCTTCATTTTAAGAAAAATAAAATGAAATGAAAAAATACTGGCAAAGAAAAAATACACCAAAACAGTGGGTATTTCCAAGGAGTAAAATTATGGGATATTTTAGTTTAGTTTAGTTTAGTTTATTTATTTTTACTATTTCTTTTCTTCTCATCTTTTATTACATCTCCCCCTCCCTTGAGGCCTTCTTTGTTTGAAGATCCTTTTATTTGGCAAATAGATATTAGCGCATATGGCAGCTAGCCAGGTGGGAGGTGTGGGGGCAAGTCATCATCTATTACCAATTCTTTCACCACTGGGCCTGTGACTGCCCTGGAGTGGAAAGAATCCTTTCCTTTTGTGACAGGGAGTGGCGTGAATCCTTAAAATCCCGTATTTTCATGAAAACCACAGGTCAACGTTTTATCATTATTGTTTACTCGGGCTAGGACTGGTGAAGTACTCTGGGGTGTTTTCATACATGTGAAAAGACTGTGTTTTCTTCCTCTGCAGAACCTAAAGGAGCCAGTGCTGGTGGCGGTGGTGGCTTTGGCGGAGGCGGCGGATTTGGCGGAGGAGGTGGCAGCGGTGCTGGTGGTGGTGGTGGTGGTGGCAGCGGTGGCGGTGGCAGCTTTGGAGGGGGTGGACCACCCGGCTTGGGAGGACTGTTCCAGGCTGGAATGCCGAAGCTGAGATCAACAGCCAACAGGGATAATGGTAAGAAGGGTTCCTTCTCTCTTAGTAACTCAAGACAAGAAAGAGTTTGGTGGTTTGGAGGCTTGACATCCTCTCTAAGGCCCTGAGCCCTTTAAAACATTTTAGATAGCTTGAAATGTTAACACTGTTTTATAAGAGACTCTACTTAGCATCTTTTTCTTTTTCTTTTTTTAAATTAGTATCAGACAGCTCCATCCAGCTGTTACATATTTGTCCAGTGTCCTTGGGGTACCTTGTACTTTTTTGTACTTTTCTAAAGGGTGAGTTAGAGTAGGAAGAAAAGAAAGATGCAAATGGAACTTGCCAACCCTGGACACTCTGCATGGTGACCTGGCAAATTCAACTTTCTTTGTGAGGTGTCCTGACCCAGCTATCTAGTATAGCAAATCCTTGTGAGCCACTTTCCAAACCCACTATGGGGCATGTCATATGGAATATAATTACATATGAAGTCGAAATTTAAGTTAGTGCACAAAATGCTGTACGAGAAGTGTACGTGTTCATGGTAAACTGTCCACATAATGGATCCTATCCATGTAATGTAGTAACTGAAGCTTTAATCTGAACTTGGAAGCTATAACTTATTATAAGCTCACGACACAGAAATATACCAGTCAAGGAAAATATAGCTTTTTTTTCTAGTACTAAAGTCAAAATAGTCTGTCTAGAATTCACGTTATTCCACTGTATAAATCCATCTGAATGTCGGTCACTGTGCCTTGGATAAAATCTGAACTTCTGGCCTTGGAGGCTCTTTATGACCCGACCCCTGGTGGTTACTCAAGCTCTCTTTCCTAGGGTTCCCTTTTCCTCCATGCTCATTGTGCCCTAGGCACGTAAGTCTTGGTTTTTCCACTTGAAAATCATTCCCACTCCAGGGCTCTGCACCTGCTGGTCCTCCTGAACATCGCGCTTCCTCATCTTTCCATGGCTGTCTTCACGTCCTCAGAAGAGCCGTCCCCAGGCACCCCATCTCGCCTTGCCTCTCCAGGCATTCTTCATCTCATCAGCCTATTTTAGTTTCTCTTTAGTCCTTATAACTGAGACTATTTATATGTTTGCTGGTTTGTTTATCTCTCCCACAAGAATGTAAACTAGAGTTTTGTGTACTCCTCCATCTCTAGCATCTAGAATAATGGCTGGCATAGGGCAAATATTAATAAATATTTGGTATATTAATTAGCTCATGGTTGAAGTGGTAGACGTTTTCAGGCTAACCATTTATTTATTTATTTATTTATTTATTTATTTATTTTTGAGAATTACCTTGGGTTCCAAGAGACTCTGGGTCGTGATTTGAATTTTTCTATAACTTTGGTTTCCCCTTTTAGTTATTCCCTTTGTTGAACCAAAACAGTTTAATATTAATTATGTAATAGGATTTATCCTGCCCTACCAATATGGAAGAGAAAGTTGACCCAGTAGGAAAAAAAAGGTTGTGTAGTTACTTACTTATTTGCAGATTAAGACCATCCACTGGTATCAGTTCTTTCAATTAAACTTCAATGATTTCTTTTTCTTTTCTTAGTTCCTTATTTCAATCATAATTCTTCCATTATACATGTATTTTTCCACCTTCTCTTGGGAATTTCTCTTCAAAGAGAAATGGTAAGCCCTACCATATGAAGATTTATATTGGGATAACTAATTTCTTCACCTAAAATGGCTACATTATTTTTTAACCCTGAGAGGTACAAGGGCAGGGGGACAGGGATGGTGATGGAGAAATCCCAGGAGAAAAGAAAATCATCCACAGAAATCCCATGTGCCACAACCGTCCTGTTCTTGTCCTCTCATAACGAATACTGATCTCTCCAGAACTCTTACCAACTTCATCCTGGTTCTTGCCCATAAATAATACCAAGAGGTCTCTTCAAAATCCTCTTGAAAGCTGACAGATTGTAAAACCTCAGGCTGGAAGGTAAACAGAGCTGTGATCTATTCTTCTTCCTCCAGGAAATACCACACCAAACCTGATTTATATAAATAATAGTTACCTATATTTTATAACATCTAGGAAAGGACTTCCAGTAGCTGGGAATATGCTTTAGTTCCCTGCTTTCTTTTAAAATTCCTAATTTTTTAACTGATTTTTTTCCCCCCTGTTTTTTAGATTCTGGAGGAAGCCGACCCCCGATTTTGCCACCAGGAGGCAGATCCACATCTGCCAAACCTTTCTCACCCCCAAGTGGCCCAGGGAGGTTCCCTGTGCCTTCTGCGGGCCACAGAAGCGGACCCCCAGAGCCTCAGAGGAACCGACTGCCTCCCCCGAGGCCCGACGTGGGCTCAAAGCCTGATAGCATCCCCCCACCAGTACCTAATACGCCAAGACCCATTCAATCAAGTCTGCACAACCGCGGGTCCCCTCCCGTGCCTGGGGCCACCAGGCAGCCCAGCCCTGGGCCGACTCCTCCCCCTTTCCCCGGAAACAGAGGTGCTGCTTTTGGAGGAGGCTCCGTCCGTCAGACCCCCTCAGGCTCCTCCTCACCCTTCTCCAACAGGCCTCCCCTGCCCCCTACCCCGAGCAGGGCCTTGGATGACAAACCCCCTCCGCCGCCTCCTCCGGTGGGCAACAGGCCCAGCATCCACAGAGAAGCGGTCCCACCTCCGCCCCCTCAGAACAGCAAGCCCCCGGTGCCTTCCACTCCGCGGCCTTCCTCTTCGTCACAGGCCCCACCTCCGCCACCGCCACCCAGCAGGCCCGGCCCGCCCCACCTGCCTCCGGGTTCCAGCGGCAGTGACGAAACCCCAAGGCTCCCCCAGCGGAATCTGTCCCTCACGTCGTCTGCACCGCCCTTACCTTCACCTGGACGTTCTGGCCCGCTTCCTCCCCCGCCCAATGAGAGACCCCCTCCTCCAGTGAGGGACCCACCAGGCAGATCAGGTATGGCAAGATATGCGGTGAATCGTCTCCCCGAAACCCAGCCTGCCCAAATGTCACTAATGATCATATGTATACATGAATGGAGTCCAACAAGAAGCTTAAGTGAACCCTCAGACTGGCTTCATCTGTGAGGTGACACTTAACACTGTGTGATTTCATCGAGACCTCATGTAAACAAACCTCTGAGGAAAGAAAGTGGCGCTCATATTTCTCTTTTAGAGATGAGACAAAGTAACCAATCAAGTTCATTGATCACAAGCTAGTTAATAGAGGTTAGAACTTTCATCTTCCATCTCCCCCTTCTACCTCCTTGCCCCCCTAAAGTGTTTTCAGCTGTCTTCATTGGGGAATTAAATTCACATCTCCTTCAGGAGAGCCCCGTTATCCCAACAAGAAAGGCAGCTATTTAAGAGCTAATGAACTTCTGTACTTCTCTCTCCATCTGTCAAGCTTTTCCCTGCTCATTAAAGACAAATGTTAAGAGTCTATTTTGCTGTTTGTTAATATCCATGACACATAGATCCCTTGGAAAATCAGATAAAGGTATAGGTCCTCACTTCAAAAAAAGGATCAACTCAAAATTTGCATGCATTTCATGGATTGAAGGACCCACTGAAACCCATCTCTGCCCCCGGCCCAGGGCTGAAAAACCTGAATCTAAGGGAAGGACTTTCAGAGTATGAAATGAAATGTAAGGATCCCCCAGAGTTTGGACTCTCTCTACTAAGTTATAATAGGTGGTTTTTTGTTTGTTTTACATTGGTTATTGATGGATTTAAAAAGCAGGGGAAGTATCTGCTTTTTAAATTTAACCTTATCATACATACAAGATGTTTGGAAGTGGGGCATTTTTTTTCTATGAGAAGTTAACTGACCTTTGCCCCTGTGACCTCAGGAACCTAATAAACACTATTCTTTAAACCAGTAGTCCTCAAACTTGGCCACATACTGGAATCACCTGGGAGTTTTAAAAACCTCGATGCCTGGNCCAATCTCGTAGTCCTCCTGATCCTTGTCACAAGATTCTCCCTTGGGGGGATCCCAGCACAGTCACTTATATCTAGGGAGCCGTGGTCCAACAACCATTGAGTCATGCTGCCTGGTATGGATGGGGCCAGAGAAGTTCCACACACAGCCAACTCCTAGGACAGAGCCCAGCGGTTCTCTTCACCCTGAGTGGGAGGCTAAGTTCCAGAGAGGTAGATGTGAGTTCCCCAGATGGTGAAGGAAACTGGACAGTTTGGGGCTGTGTCCTGAATCCACTGGTGAAAACTCATTATTATGTTCTTCCAGGTCCACTTCTCTTCCCATTAAATGGAAATAAGTGTTAGTTCTTGCCCCTTCCAGCTGCTCAGTGATGTGCTTCGCTTGGTGGACACAAAATGCAACCCATTGCATGCCCTTGGTGTCCCTGTACTTAGCTGGACAACAATACTGTTGTCACAAGCTCTCTGCAAGTGATAAAGTCCATCCATGGTTTTGTATTTGTTTGCAGGTGAAACCTCCCTGGGCGTATAGTAAAATGTTGGCCATGGTTATGCATGATAGAACTCTTGAAGTCAGCCTTGTCCTGCAATTTAATTACTAACAAACTGACCTGGAGCCAGTTAGCTGTCCTAAACTACTTCAGCTTCTCTACTGAAAGATATACTAATGGGTGATGTCTGGTAGTGCATTGATCTCTTTGAATGTTTAATGCCAGGTAAAGCAGCATTCCAAAATGTATCATTTATTAATAAATAATGTTTGAATAAGGTCATTTTTAATATTATTGGCAATAATTAAAATTAGTAAAACATTTAAATTTTATATGAAAGCAATATTGCAAACACTTCAAGAAATTGTTATTATAATTTATCTTTTTAGGTGAAGTAATTTTTGTGAACTTATTATCAGATCATTTCTTTCTATCAGCAGAGCTTTCATAAGTATCCCAAAAGCGCCACACCTA